TCACCCAACCAATCTATCTCATTCGCGGTGTAGAGGAACAGACTCGGCATTTATCATAGAAAAGTATTTACCTCCACTCTCCCATGCAAAACAATGACCTTGTCAGCTAAACCGTTGGCTTTCACAACTTCCTTTGCCTGGTGGAATTAGGAAATAAAAAAGGGGGTAAATAGAAGCCACTGTGAAAAGTGAAATTCACAAAACCACTTCAGTTCTGACAGGAAACAAAAACAGAATGAAAATCATATGCAGAGCTAAAACACAGAACCATAAATTTTCAGATAATTCTCAAGAAAGATACAACCATGAGCAATGTAGAGATTTAGACTTTAGATTAAAGTTAAATGATACAAACGAAGTCCAAGTGTAGTCCTCGACTCCTCGTTTTAGACAATAAGACAAACTATCATCACACCCTAAACATACTTCCACCAAAGCCAACATGCAACAGCAACAACACAATAAGAATTCCTTTTCTATTCCAAGTTCAAATTTGTAACATATATAACATGTTTCTTATGAAAGTACAAAATCCCAAACTATTTCAGCTGGAACTTTCCAAAGCCATTAACATTTTATGATAAGAAATTGCCAATGTCATCACTTTACGCAAGTTGCAGAAAATAGAAGCTAACTACGAGATGATCAAGAGCAATCCTCTATCCCCACAGTTACTAGATAAAGAAAAGAATAATACCTGGACTGCAATATCACTTGCATCTACAGCGTATACCTGCAAGAAAATCAAACTTTCGTAAGAAACATAGTAACAGTGTTGGTTTACCCCTGCGTTAGATATGTACATGCTACATTATTCGTAATGTTCCATATCTTTTGTAAACAAGAGATGTCGGTTTTTTGAAATCAATATCAATAATAAAGTAGCGCCTGCATATAACTCATACCCGTTTTGCACCCGCTTGAGCACAGAAGATTGAAAGGATGCCTGTTCCACAGCCAACGTCCACCACAACCTGTTACAAGCAATCGATGCAGGAATAATTTTTCCAAACGAAATACAAAAAGACCACATAGTAAACATAGTTTTGCTTAAGATATCTTCAACACAAAGGAATCGAATCCTAACACAGGCTAAGGAAAAACTATACAACAGTCCCAATATGAATCTTCTTCAAGAATCATTTGCAAAGATAAAAAGAGCATTGTTCATAATCTAAAAAAACGAGCATCTTACCTTGCCTTGGATAAAGCTCTGATGCTGCATTATAGCTTGCCTATAAGTTTCCGTCCTTGCTCGATCCTGTACCAACAATAACATTCCACGAGAAAAAGGTGAGAAATCCCAAGGAACAACAGACTGCAGAGAATAAAATGAATGTTTAAAGAAGATGAAGACACAAAAAAACCTAATTTGATATTCTATGGAAACAAAAATCTAGCCAAATTCTGCAAGACATCAAAGTTCTCTTTTTGAGCAACAAGAAAATTCGAACTGGAAAACCCAATTTGGTTAACAGAAAGAAATTAAACACATCTAATGAATATACCCAGTAATGGTTTTGAAGAATATCAGTTGGATCGAGTTCGAAGATATTCCAATGCTCCAGAAAATCAAGAGAGAAACTTCCCCAAACCAAAGAGAATTCAATTCGAACTATCGATTTCAAGCTCTCATACGAGAAGAATGATAAGAAAAGGGAGAAGAGAAAGAAGAAGAAGCGAGAGAAAGTACCTTGATCATCTCTTCGTGAATCCCGACGTGAGCATAGGAATGAAAATAGGCAACATCGAAGTCGGTGCACGGCGCAGGAGATTCCTGAGTCTCCAGTAACTTGTGCTCGCCAGGCTGGTCGGAAACCCTAAGCCCATTGGGGAGATTGCCTTTTGGGTCACGAGCTCCGCCGCGACTGCGCCTCTTGGCTCGGCCAAAAGAGCTGAGCCCAGCGACTTGCTTATCTTCCCATGCTAGCTCACGGTGATTGTCGCCGTGGAAACCGTTGCTGCAGTCGCCGCCAGATTGCATATTTCAGTTAAACCCAGACAGCCCACCAGAGAGACCTTCTCTGACGCTTGACTACGACTGTTGAAAACTAGTGAACAAAGGAGCCTCCTTTTTTTCTTCTAATTAAAAATCCCCAAAAGGGTTTCTTATAATAATTATTTACATAAGTTTTTCAATTTAACCCTTTTTGGGTACTTTATAAATTGAAGGGTCTATGTGTAAATAAATTAAAAATAGTCTACCAGACAAAAATAAATACAGTATTTATCATGCTTGGTTTTTTTTTGTGAACAACCTATCATGATTAGGTTTGAGAGAGAAAATATGTGGTAAGTTGTTTTTTTTTTTTCGAACAGTAAGTAGTTTTTGGCAGAGAGAAAAACTTTAGGGATAAAGAAGTGGATAGCAAGGTCTGATGGTTTTATTATGAAAATAGCAAGAGATTTATGCGTTAGAAAGAAATAGATAAAAATTGCCAAAAATAAATTTGTTGCTTCAGTTAATTACATCCCATGCCATCAATCGAGTGTAAATATGGACAAATAAGTAAAGTGAAATTAGCTGTTATATATTTGGTTATAGACAATGTCCGGAGAATTACCTCTAATAATAATATGTTCTATTATATTCATATTATACTATAGAATTAATGCTATATCATATTATACACAGCTACATATATATAAAATATCTATACACTAATACTAAAATTAATATGTTATCTAATAAAATTAACAAATTAAATGGAATACTATAGATATAAATATATATTAACATGATATAAGAAATAAGTTAAAATATTAAAAAAACATATAACTTGACATTTAAAAAATAAATATATATATACGTATTTATTATTTTAGACTTATATATAAACTTATAGATATAGCTTACCTAATAAAAGAAATAAGTTAATATGTTAAGATTACATATAAATTTATATTTAATTATATAGACATATATTGATTATTTTAGACTTTTATATAAAATTATAGATATAGATTACATGAAAAAAGAAATAAGTTAACATCTTAAGAAAATATATAATTTTACATTTTATTATATATACATGTATTGGTAGAGAAAATCAAGAAATTGTTGACTGAAAAAGATGAAAGCGGTGTCGGAAGAAGATGAAAATGATGTCGCAAAAGTGAATTGGAAAGACATGTTAATTAACAGAAGAATACTGTATATATGTGTCTAGGTATTTAATTATTAATTTTTGATAGACACTACTTAGACATCTATTGATAATTTTGGATGTGGATTTTTCTCATAATAAGTTGGATAACGTGTGAGGGTAAAATGGAAAAATGGATAGTCAAATATTTTAATACTTTGACTCCGAAATACCTTGTGTCGATTAGTTAATTTATTACCGGTCATTTACCATTTGTTGGTATTTTCCAAAACTTTACACATGATTCTGTGAAAAGAAGAAGAAAAGAGTTCAAATTTTTTTTAAGATATTTCATTATGATAATGGTCAATTATATTACCCATGGAACGTTTACGTAGTTTATGCAAAGGATTCCAGCCACCAGAATATAAATTGACAATAGTAAGGGTTTGAACTTTTGAAGGAGTTGGTCTAGAAACTTGATAGCACAAATGGTACTTTCATGAATCAATCTTAATGGAAGTATGTTTCTCTTAACTCTCCATTTATAAAAAAAATGAAGATTTGGTAACTCTACCATGTCCAGATGCATAACTCTATGGCTCAATCATGTGCAATATCCATGATGTTCCAACAACCAGCTTCCCATGTAATATATATACACCAGCTAGCATCAATACGGTGTTGTTCACCAGCATTGAATCAGATACTCCCATTTAGTTCATATTGGTTAAAGAAATCATAGTAAGCTCTTTGGTACAACCCTCGAATACGTTTTTTATATGACCGCAAGAACTGCCCAAGACATCATCCCAAATCTGCAATTGGTAAAATTCTTTATGTCAAGGTTCTTACCAAATTCGAGGGTACAACTCCATGGCCTTAAAGTTCAAAAAAAAAGAAAAAAAAAAACTCCATGGCCTTGCGAAGGATGGCACAAATCATACAAGATGAAAAGTGTATTTTCAAATCGAATGAGAATAATAAACACTAAATACTATGTTCTTGACTATCAAGATACAATATTTCTCTCGTTTTCAGTCACTATGATATGATGCTACCGAAGAATTACAACTCAAGCTATGTCCATTGATCCTCAAATAAATCTTGATCAGGACACTAATGTATTGAAGTATAATAATACTGTGATCATCAGAAAGTTGCCAATAGAAGTCATTAGGTTCCTACATGAACCAGAAATAGAATCACTTGAGGAAGGTGCAACCACAACCCTTGAACGTCAAAAAAAAAGAAATATATATATAGAAGATGAACACGTCCTACGTGATATAGACACGTACGTAATACGTTTATGTATAAGAGAAGGTAAAATACGAAGCTCCCCAAAATAAGGGCAGAAAATACTATCATATATATATATATACAATTTGCAGGGTTGAATAACCCAAACCTGAATAACACAAACAAGTGATCACTAATATTTTGGACTATTAAAGATGATAATAAAAAAACATGTGGTTTATATATGACAGTACAAAGGCAAGATATAGTGTAGTTATACATTTTCCAAATTCCAAACTAAAAGTTATCAAAGGAAATACGCATTTCTTAATCACCAAAGGCTAAGATAGGTAGCTAGTGTTACAACATCAGCCAACGTACACCATTTGCCTACAAGAAACATAAGTCAACGGTTTGCATGCATCAAGGTGTATATAACAATTATTAACATATAAGCTTAAAAGATAAATTTACAACAAACCAACCAATCACCCATTTTGTAAGTTTTTAAAATGTCATTGACTTCAAAAAAAAACATTTTATTAGTCAACAGAAAACAAATAAAAAAAAAATCGAAACCGTTCATAGTCAAAAAGTACATGAGGGGTATAACTGTAATATCACTTGTAGTTATTAATCATCGATCTGTTTGCCTTTCCAGCGTTCTTCCGACTCCGCCAAAATCCATACATTTCATCTCTCTCGCCTTCTTATTCGTCGCCGGAAGGAAATGACTTCGCCGGGAATTGTTGTCTGGAGGAACTTTCGACGCTATTAATCGGAAGAATCGAGAGTCACGGAGGAGCAACCAAAAAAAGAAAAGTCGCCTTTTTTGCTGGGTTGGTTTGATAACATTTTTTTTAATCTGTGTGGATGATGAGTTTACAAAAAGGCGCGAGAGATGAGAATCGTTTCACGGTGAAAAAGAGACCAACGGGGTTTTCTGAATCGGTCATATAAAGCTTCTGATTTGCATTTTCATGCCCTCTGGTTATAAACATTGAAAAATTTGTATCCGTCGTACGGTACGGACGCTTGCTTAGCTTGATTGTATAGATATTGGAATGGGGAAGGTGTTGGTGATGTTAACTGCAGCCACGGCGGTGCTGGCTTGTTCGGTGGCGACGGTGATGGTGAGAAGTAGGATGAAACGTCGGAGGAAGTGGAGGAGAGTGGTGGGGATACTTCAGGATTTGGAGGAATCGTGTGAGACGCCGTTGGGAAGGCTGAGGCAGATGGTGGATGCCGTAGCTGTGGAGATGCAAGCTGGTTTGGTCTCTGAAGGAGGCTCCAAGCTTAAAATGCTGCTTACTTTCGTCGATGATCTTCCCAATGGGTGAGTTTTTTAGATATCGGAATGCTTGTTGATTCATTGCCAGTATCGATTTTGATTAAATGTCTCGTTAGGTTTGTGAAAATGGAAGCTTTTGGTGCTTGCGTTGGTGTAATGTACGAACCGTTTTTATTTTTAATTCAGGAGCGAGAGAGGAACTTACTATGCACTTCATCTTGGAGGCTCTTACTTTAGGATAATAAGGGTTTATTTGGGTGGTCAAAGATCGTCTCTTCAAGTTCAAGATGTTGAACGACATTGCATACCCACATCTTTGTTGAATAGCACCAGCGAGGTAACAATGCTTTTTTTCCCCAACATTGTTTGTATCCAAGCTCGGTTTATAAATCACCAACAGATTCATATGCTCACATGATTGTTGTTTACTTGAATTTTTGTAGGTTCTCTTCGACTTTCTCGCATCGTCCTTGCAGAGGTTTATTGAGAAAGAAGGACACGAGTCCATTTCGTCACAAGATGTAAAAAGGGAACTTGCGTTTACTTTTTCTTTCCCTGTCAAGCAGACGTCTCTCTCTTCAGGGGTCCTTATCAAATGGACCAAAGGATTTGCAATCAGTGAAATGGTTAGTTCAAATTTTCCTCAATCTTTTTACCTTTCTGCGTTATGAAGGTTAATTCTAAGGCTGCAGTGTATCATCTCAACCTGTGATTTAGAATAATTGTTGGATCAAATCAAACATATAAACCATCAGTTTGTGTATTATACTTTGCTGACGTACAATGTGATCTCTTCTAGCATTTTGGTTCGGATTGGGGAAACATATATCACCAATGCTGCGTCAAGCGTATGCACATTCAAAGTTAACTATTTTTTCTTATGTTCTTGACATATTGATTCTCATTACTTTAGGCTGGGGAAGACATTGCTGAATGCCTTCAAGGAGCGTTGAACAGGAGAGGGCTAGATATACACGTTGCAGCTCTTGTAAGTGCTTTGTTACCTGCAACAGAATCATAACCTTGGGGAACTGCTGCTTCCTCGATTATGATTCCTTTGAAATTTCTCTTTTTGCTTGGTTCTGATGATAGTCTTGGTGTTTGAGCCAGGTGAATGATACAGTTGGGGCACTATCCTTTGGACATTATCATGATCCAGACACGATTGCGGCTGTTGTCTTTGGAACAGGTAGTAATGCCTGTTACCTTGAACGAACTGATGCCATAATCAAGTGTCAGAATCCGCGCACAACTTCTGGAAGCATGGTATTCATCCTTCGAAACCTGCCGTCAAAGTTTTAGATTCCTATGGGTTTAATATAAAACATTCGAGCTTTTTGTTATAATGCGTCGGTCTTTTGTGTAAAGGTGGTCAACATGGAGTGGGGAAACTTTTGGTCATCTCGTCTGCCAAGAACTTCATATGACATTGAGTTGGATGCAGATAGTTTGAATTCAAATGACATGGTGACGTTTTGCTAACTTTCCTGTTTTCAAGGTTTATTATATGAGGCAATCAATGAGCAGGAGATCAACTGGTGGGTATTGTTATTATATAGGGATTTGAGAAGATGATAGGAGGGATGTATCTGGGCGACATTGTCCGCAGAGTAGTTCTTCGTATGTCAAAAGAGTCTGACATCTTTGGACCCATCTCATCCATTTTATCGACGCCTTTCGTTCTAAGGTACGTTTCATTTTGAGTCTTCTTCTTCTGTGTCTGTTGACTCTGTTCCAAACTTTTACGAATTCTTTGTGCTAAAACTTTTACTCGATTCACAGAACAGATTCTGTCTCAGCAATGCACGAGGATGACACACCCGAGTTACAAGAAGTTGCAAGAGTCTTGAAACATTTAGGGGTAAAAGTTTTGCTCTGTTCCACAATCCTCGGATGAATGATGATGATGGACTTAACGAAAACATGCTTTGATCTTGGTCTCTTTCAACACACAGGTAAGAAAGGTACCATTGAAGGTGAGGAAACTTGTAGTGAAGATATGCGACGTAGTGACACGCAGGGCGGCTAGGCTGGCCGCAGCAGGAATCGCAGGAATCCTAAAGAAGGTTGGGAGAGATGGGAGCGGAGGAGGAGGAAGGAAAAGCGATAAGCAGGTGATGAGAAGAACGGTGGTGGCAGTAGAAGGAGGTCTCTATTCGAATTACAGGATGTTTAGAGAATACATGGACGAAGCTTTGATAGATATACTGGGAGACGACGTGGCTCAACACGTAGTGATTAAGGCCATGGAAGATGGCTCCAGCATCGGCTCTGCGTTGTTGGTGGCTTCGTCCCATAGTGTTCGAACCATAGCATCCGTATGAGTGTAGTAGTTGTGCAGATATACAATGTATAGTCGATTGTTTTAGACGTTCAGTAAATAAAATATTGTAGGATGTTTTTTCATCTCTTTATAAATATCGTTTCTCCTCTTTCTTAAACCCTTAAAACCCATCGTAAAGCGGCAGCCTAGGGTTGGCGACTTTTCTCGAATTCCCCATGGACAACAACTCTAGCAAAGTAAGCTTCTTTTGGCTTTTGGATCTCTCTTTTTTTCTCTAGTAAATGGTTTATTCACCAATTATACTTATGTAAGAAAACCATCTTTGAACTTTAGGCGAAGAAACTGGATTGGTTCGAGAGTGATGCTGCTATGAAAGCCTTCATGGCAAAAGGCAGACTGCCCCGGTAAATTAATGGATGCTTTTTGCTCTGGAGATTCGAATGTGTGCTGTTAATTGTTGTTGATAAATGTTTAATCTCTCCTGCAAATTAGGGTTAGGGTTTCCGTTGAGGGATACGACACTTTGGTTCCTCAGGAAGATATCAAGAAGGCGTTGACTAATCACTTCATTTCATGCGGCGAAGTCGTTAGTGTAACATTCTCTCAAGGCCGTGTCGGGTTCGTGTTGTGAAACTTTTTAATTACCAGCTCAAGTTACATAATGCTTTAGCTAACAACACAAAATTGGTCAGGCGTGCTTTTGTTGCTCTTCGCGGAGATGGCGTAGAAGGGAAGGCGTTGCAACTTGATGGAAGTGACGTGGGAGGATGGAATGCCCTTGTGAAGGTTACACCGACAGAAGACGAGGTGACTCTACGTTATGAAGCCCGTCTTGATAGAGAGACTTACAAGGACAAAAGATTGTAAGTTGAGATATGCTTTCTTCCTTTGTGGAGAGTTTGCATCTGTCTGTTGATATAGCATGCGATGATGTTACTGCAGTAGGTTTGGCATTACCGTTTGGGGATACGACACTTCGCTTCCCGTGGATGATGTCAAGAGCACTTTGATGAAACATTTCTCTTCTTGCGGTGACATCACACATGTTTTTATGAATATCCTCGACAGGTTTGTGGCTTTCTCCAATTTGTCTTTGTGAGTTAAATTTTTCCCCTCCCATAGCCTCCTGACTAACTAAAAAAGTTCTTGTTTCTTACAGAGAGGCTAATATTTATTTTTCCGGACGAGACGGAGAAGAAAAGGCGCTGAAACTTGATGGAAGTGAAGTGGGAGGATGGAAATTAGCTGTTACTGGCGTAGCTACAGTGAGAAGTAACCCGCGCTTCTCGAAGAAAAGTCGTCTTGGCTATTGTATCCCAGGTACATGAATAATTTTGTTTCTTGATATCCAAGTAAGAACTTGTCGTGAACCCGTCGTCGCTTTATTGTATATGTAGCTCATTGTATTGAGATGGCTGACGAGAACCATGCCAAGGTCATGGCTCTTAAGAAGGAGCGAGGGTTGGTGTAGAAGTCTTTCTCGACGAGACGAAGCTCTTTGGTGTTTTTATAAATCGTGTGGTATATTATGCAGCCTTTTGTCCTTTAATTACCTAAATCGTGTCATATAATAGTAAACACAAAGGCAGGTCCAGCTCAAACAAATGTTGGACCCTACACCAAATTTCTTTTAAAAACTTGAAAATTTAGCTGTAAATCTGAAAATTTGGACCCTTACTTGCACAATTCTATAAATTTGAGGACCCTTAAATGTATAGAAATTTGTAAAAAGTGAGTGGATCATGTACTTTTGTATTGTTGGTACACCCATAGAACCGGGCCTGTATCTATGTTCTTCCAAACCATATACTATATAGATGGCTCCAGCATCGGCTCTGCTTTGTTGGTGGCTTCATCCCACAGTGTTCGAACCATAGCATCCGTATGAGTGTATTTTTTTTTTTTTTGGGTAAAATAGTATGAGTGTAGTTGTGCAGATGTACAATGTATAGTCGATTGTTTTTGTAAATATTGTAGGATGTTTATCACTTTGTTTCCTCCACTCATATGATTCATGATTGTATAGTGAGCTTACTCACTCTTCAAAGAAGAAGAACTGACTCCGTTGATCTTTTTATCTCTTTGTTTCCTCTGCTAGTAGTTAAAATGCAAAGGGAATCAAGCCTTAAGTGGCCAAGGCAGAACAAACGCATCATCACAGTTTGACATCCATCGTTCCGGTTACATTTCTGATTTCTGTGTACAAAAGTACTATTTTAGAAGTGAATGGAAAATGGGCCAGATTATTGGCTCCATGCATCACAGTGGATAAAGAAAAAAAAAGAAAAAAAAGAAAAGAAAGGATGACTGACCCATCTATGGCCTAACTCAGAAGACCATTAATAAATGAGAAATTTACGAAATAAGGCACTTTCACAAACATGAATAACAATATTAGGCATTAACACTTTCGACCTGAGAAAAGATTTGTATATCCTTAAATTTCGACTTTCATTTTCTCCTGTTTAACATTTCACATCGTAACAAATATATTAATTACATTTTTATATGCCGTATTAAATCCAAATCTGTTTCTCCATAAGAACCGCCTCTGTTGAATCATAGTCAATTTCGAACATCCATCATCACCGCCGTTGAATCCTAGTCAACTTAATTCTCATTCCCATCAATTCATCAATCTGTTGCCATTAACTAAGCCAAACTCATCCACCACCCCCCAGAATGCCGACTCCGCATAACAGCGCCCACATATAAAGCTTCGCGATTTTGGTATCTCCGGTGACCAGAAATCTTACCACGCAGTACTTTCTACCGTTTAGACATCGGAATGACAGGTCAACCTTCATCTCACAATTCTGGTATTTCTCTGTTTCCTTTAGCTACTAGGGTTCGTTTTAGTTCACTATTTCCCGATTTCAGTTACGAATCCATCACATCTCATCTATTTGGTACATCTATATATGTTAATTTATGCATCAACTATACACCATCCACTATGTTTCATCCCCCCGTTTCACCCATAATGTTTCATCGACCATGTGTAATCTGATACCGAATCATTTCCACTTCTATCAATGCGTAGTTAACATTGTGCTAACATCCACTGACACTTTACGCATCCACTCGTGTCTAATACTCAAACTCACATTTCACTCATTCATCCGGTGCATCCATATATATAATATAAATTGTGCATACATGTTCACTCATCCATCTGGTGCATCCATATATATAATGTATATGGTGCATACATGTAGTCAATAACATCCACCATACGGGTTCTCCCTGTTGCTCATGGGATTTACCTCATCCGGAGCTTCTATATATGGGTACTATATTCATATTAACATACATCTTCCATCCACAACCTAGCATTCACATGAATATCGCATCCAACTCATCCATCTGGTGCATCCATGCATTGTTCACTCAGATTCACATTCATCTCACATCTACAATCTAGCATTCACATGTACATGACATCTAACTCGTCCATCCGGTGCATCCATGTTTAGTTCAATTTTTCCACGCATCACTTACACACCCACTAGGATTTATCCACCATGTTAATCTGATAGTCTATCTCACCCATTTCTATCAATTCATTATTTACATATTACTTAAAACTAATTACATTATGACATCCACCATCGCCTATCCGATTGTTGTAATATTTGTGTCTGCCATCGTTCACTCTATTTCACTGTCATCTCCCAACTAACATCGGACCTCTAATGAATCCATTCGATGCATCTATATTGGGCCACCCATTTAAAGCATCCATAGATAATATTCATATAGAGTATCCACATAGAGCATCCATATAGAGTATCCACATAAAGCATCCATATATTGCATCCATACAAAATATTCACATTACATTAAGACATCCACAATTGCCCACAAATCTGTGTCTAACATCATTCCCTCTGTTTCACTCTCATCTCGCATTTACCATCTTGTCTCTAATGAATTCATTCAGTGTATCCATAGATGGTCATCCATATAAAGCATCCATATATAGCATGCATATAAAGCATATAGAGCATTTACATAGTCCATTCATAAAGTGCATCCATATCGAGCATCCACTAAGAGCATCCACATTGAGCATATAAAATTCATACATCTAACTCATCCATTAAATTTACCCATATTGTCAAACTAATTGCTACTTAAAATCTCTAATATGCAGGCCCCGAGCACAAGAGTGGGACACACGTTTACCAACATGCTTGTTGGTAACCGATAGATTCCCCATCTATTTTCATAAGCAATGCGCCCTCTCGACCTTTACAGGATCTAGTAATCCTAATCTATTTTGGAACCAATACTTGAAAGCACTCTCTCCTTTTTTTTGTTATTAATGTTGTTCACCTTCATTTTCAGTTGTGATATTTTCTAATCATTATGATGGGTGGAACTATGTGTACAGTGTTAGAACTCTTTTTATTCTACCACGTTTGTTGACTACAAATTTCTACTCTACGTTTAATCATCATTTTGACGACAATAGAATATCTCTAACTAACACTTTGAACATTATAGACCCCACTTGAAATGCGTCCATAAATCTCTTACATATTAATACCATCCACACCATCATATAATCACTTATCATTAGCCATCCACAAGCATCCATCTTTACTATCCTTTCGCATGCATCCATCTTTGTCATCCATCTTTGCCATTCATGCCCATCTATCCATCTTTGCCATCTACTTTGCCATACTTCTTATCATCAATTCGCTAGTATTCAATAGTATGCATCCATCATTCACATCCATTTGCTTTCTTTTCTTACTGTCATTTATTCACTTCTGCTGTTGTCCTCTTACTTGCATCCATCATTCTCGTCCACTTACTTGTATCCATCATGCTTCAGATCCAATTCTACTCTTCCTATATCACTGTCCACCACTACCTTATCCACATAACATGAGTATTACAAATATAATAAGTCGCTGAATCAAATATAAATGCACAAAAGTTATTATTGCAATACTTTCTGCAATACATACCATCACTAACCAAAACAGAGGCTAAAAACCACATCTCTGGTTCCAAAGATCATCAGGTGATGTCCAACAGACGTTGTACACAATACATCTTCCAGAAAACTTTGTTCGAACCTCTGCCTACGGGAACCAAACATTGTCCACAAAACAATCATCATATGTACGTGACAATCCTACTATGGTCGCAACATCTATACACATACCCTGGCCCCATACAACACGTTCCCACCGCGAAGCAAACACTGTCCACAAAAAATCATCCTATGCTTCATTAATTATGCTGAGATCGAACGGCTTAGATTAGCCTAATATTAATTACACAACCACCTATTTTAACTTTCTTGTAGATTGTACGCTTCTACATGAGCCATCCACACCCTCATCCATCCATTCAACCCCGAACATAAAACGGACTACATATTTTGCAAAATTACTACGACATCCACACCATTCAGATCACGTCCATCCTAAGTCGTACACCAAACCCAGCCAAAATACTAAAGTAACATGTCACGCCTTACAGAACCAACACTGTCCACAAAATATTCTCGATATGTACGCGCGCAATGAACTACGACCTTCAACAACTTAACACACGAAATTAACCGGCTATAGACCTCCACTTCGTTTTCTGACGACTATAAATTATAACCAGAAACTTCGATCCTACAAAATATCGCCCACCATGTGAAAATTTTGCATGAACACTCATCATTGTCAATAACTACTGACCACACAAGTTTAGTTCTGCTAAGTTTGCACTATATCCTTTTCAATTGCGTTTATCATCGTAAAATTTATGCCGTCGGTTACACATCGACGACGCGTCAATTAAAACAGGCGCAATCTCCCAATTTAACCTCACACCGAGAACTGGCTATCATGAAGTAAGAGGTTAATCAATAGAATTTTTATTAAGAGTAAAATAGTCACATCAATTAGAATTTTTATTAAGAGTAAAATAGTCACATCAATTATTCAATATCAGCCCAAAGTGCCTTACATCTCTATAGCGTCTAATTTTGCAATGATTTTTTTATAAAGTATGTTTTTTCGTAAATCTCTCTTAATAAATATCGTTTCTCCTCCTTCTTAAATCCCTAAAACTGAAAAAACCATCGTAAAGCGGCAGACTAGGGTTAGTGACTTTTGCCGAATTCCCCCATGGACAACAACTCTAGCAAGGGATCCGCCCCAAAAATAAGCTTCTTTTCTTCTTCTTTTTCCTCTGTTAAATGGGTTCTTCACCAATTATACCTATGTAAGAAATTATCTGATTAGATCTTTTAACTTTGGGCGAAGAAATCGGATTGGTTCGAGTGATGCTGCTATGAAAGCCTTCTTGGCGAAAGGCAGACTGCCCCGGTAAATTAATGGATGCTTTTTGTTATGGAGATTCGAATGTGTGTTGTTAATTGTTGTTGATAAATGTTTAATCTCTCCTGCAAATTAGGGTTAGGGTTTCCGTTGAGGGATACGACACTTTGGTTCCTCAGGAAGATATCAAGAAGGCGTTGACTAATCACTTCAGTTCATGCGGCGAAGTCGTTAGTGTAACATTCTCCCAAGGCCGTGTTGGGTTCGTGTTGTGAAACTATTCAATTACCAGCTCAAGTTACATAATGCTTTAGCTAACAACAAAAAAATTGGTCAGGCGTGCTTTTGTTGTTCTTCGCGGAGATGGCGTAGAAGGGAAGGCCTTGCAACTTGATGGAAGTGACGTGGGAGGATGGGAAGCTCTTGTTAAGGTTACACCGACAGAAGACGAGGTGACTCTACGTTATAAAGCCCGTCTTCTCAAAGAGACATGCGAGGACAAAAGATGGTAAGTTGATATGTTTTGTGGAGATTTGTCATCTGTTTGTTGATATAACATGCGAATGCGATGATTTTATTGCAGTAGGTTTGGCATTACCGTTAGGGGATATGACACTTCGCTTCCCGACGTCAAGACCACTTTGGTGAAACATTTCTCTTCTTGCGGAAAGATCACACATGTTTATATCAGTACCCTCGACAGGTTTGTGGCTTTCTCCAATTTGTGTGAGTTTAATTTTTCCCCTAGCCTCCTGACTAACTAAAAAAGTTCTTGCTTTTACAGAAAGACTAATATTTATTTTTCCCGACGAGACGAAGAAAAAAAGGCGCTGAAACTTGATGGAAGTGAAGTGGGAGGATGGAAATTAGCTGTTACTCTCGTAGCTACAACGAGAGGTAACCCGGACCGCGTCTCGAAGAAACGTCGTCTTAGCTATTGTATCCCAGGTACAGTACATGAATAATTTTGTTTCTTGATATCGGAGTAAGAACTTGTAGTGAACCCGTCGTCGTTTTATTGTATGTATAGCTCATTGTATTGAGATGGCTGCCGAGAACCATGCCAAGGTCATGGCTCTCAAGATGGAGCGAGGGTTGGTGTAGAAGTCAGACGAAGCTCTTTGGTGTTTTTAAATCGTGTGATATATATGCATCCTTCGTATTTCTCTGTCTTTGTTCTTTGTAATATTCAGATATTTACTTATTTAGTTCTCTCTCTTGCCACCTTCTTGTGAGGGTTGGTGTTTTATAAATCGTGTGATACTACCTCGGTTCTACTAGAATGTTTGATTTTTTTTAGATGTTTCGCAAATATTAAGGAAATAATAATGATTATATAATTTTTTAAAGTACTTTTTATTTGTTTTTCAATTTAATACTGATTTTTAATATTTTTTTTTCTAAAAAATTGTCTTGAAAAACAAAATATATTAAATATAACATAAAAGATTAATCTTTTAAAAACAAAAATATTCATAACATCAAACTTTTAGAAATGGGAGGAGTATTATACAATCTTTGTGGGCCAATTGTCTATGTGTTTGGGCGATAACTTTAAAGCGGCAAATAACGATAGTTCGTGAGATAATCAATGTGGATGATTTTTTTTTATTCAGTACCTAATAAATTGCGTGAGAAAGACGCGGAGATTCATAGAGTGGAGGCATAAGGCCTTTTAAGGAAACGAGAAAGTTTCTTATGCGAGGGAGAAGTGTAAATGAATAAAATGATCATTTGACTTTTTCTCTAAGTACGAAAAATGCATCGAATGACTTTGAAGAGAAGCTGCTCTCGAAAATCATAGTCCATAGGATTACTGATGCTCGGTATAACAGAGGTATGGTGATACAATTTTCAGCTCTTATTTAAAAATCACAACTGATTCGATCTGATGTTTATTTGTTCAGTGGAAGCGGAGTTTGAGGAACATGTGATGCAATCTCTGCTAGGAAACCCTATAACTTCTATTGCAAAGAGATTCCGTTTATTCAGAAAAGTTAATGATGAAGTTTATATTCTTCAACCTAAGGAGCGATGGATTTGTTAAGAGAACACTCAATGCTTTTAGTAGGCGTAGATTTTGACGAGTTTGACACTACTTACTGGGAGTTTCAAGATTCGTATGGAATAGGCAGAAGTGACGATTGATAACTTAAAGTGTTCTATGGTACAGTGTTCTATCATTCTTGATTAGTGTCATTTTGCCTATTGGTAAATGTGAAACTTTATATACATTATGTCCTTTTCTCTATTGAGTTCGCTGTTAGCTATGGATGTCCCAAGCTCCTCCACGTTCTACAACATTGCTCCAGGAGAAAATCCTTTTGACATCTATCTATGTGCTTCACCACTACTATTCAGCAGCCCCGTCTTAGCAATTTCAAAAGTTTTGGACGAAATACAAATATAGACTTTTTATATTATATTAATAAAAATTAATTATATTAATCAAAATAAACCTAACTATAATTTGTTGACTTTTAAAATATAAAATAAGTTGCTAATTTGTTATAAAAAATACATAACTAGTTTGTATAATATATTTTTGACATAATATTTTATTCAAGTGCATCATTTCTGTAAATTGCATAAAAAATTCATCAAACCTAAGAAAATACAAAAGAATATTAATTCTTTTTAGAAAAATAAAAAATCATATATATCTTTTTTTCTTAACTTTATTGATGTAAAATTATTGATAATTGTTTCAAAATTTATAGTTTTCAAAACTTTCTTTTCAATGCATAAAAGTATAAGACCATTCAACCTTTGTTGAAACATTGATCTGATCTTGAAATCTTTTATAATTTTAAATAATTGAGATGGTTGTTGTCTTGTTAACAAAGGAAAACAGTTAACTAATTAAGGTATAATCATTTTTGTATAAGTAGATTATGACCTCTTATTAATAATTGAATAAATCATGAGCCTTTTTATGTACTAAAAATTAATATATTCATAACTGTCTTAAAGAATATATTTTTAACAATTTTTATAATATATAAAAAAATTTGGGCCCTTAAATTTTAGGTATAGTTTCTTTTGTATAACTAGATCATAATCCTTTTTTCTATTAAATGGATCATGAGTTTTATTATGTACTATAAATTAGTTATATTTTCCCTTAATGTGTTAAAGAACACATTATAACAAAGTTTTCAATATAAAAAACAAAAAACAAAATTGGCCCCTTAAATTTTTGGACCTATGGCCATTGCCCCTCCCGCCATGCCTGAGAGCCGGGGCTGCTACTCAGTGAGACTTATCCTTGAACATCGGTAATTCTTATCTGAAACTAATGTGTCACTTGTGGTCGTTTATTGTATGTAGGTGGCTGAGGAGATCGAGAAGTCATCGCTTTTAAGGGGAGAGGGTTGCTGTAGTTCTCTCTCTCTCGTGTGATACATTATGCAACCTTCGTCTTTCAATTACATAAATTTTGTGATACATTATGCACCCTTTGTCTTTCTGTGTGTTTGTTCTTTGTAATATTCAGATATTAAGTTCTATGTGCTAACTATTAAGATATTAAACTATTCAGATAATTAATTATCTGTCTCTCTTGTCACCTTCTTGTGAGGGTTAGTGTTTTATATAAATCGAGACATAATTACATTGGCCCCAGCTTTAAGAAGTTTCACTATCCGCTCTTTTGTCATTTCTCTATCCGCTCTTTTGTCATGTCCGGCTCTCCGTGACAAGAAATATTCAGTAACATATAAAACATGTTAACGTCAGCAGTACAACCGAGAAAATTGCCCTTGATGGATCTATTCAACTTCTCGTGGATCGTGAACAACAACTTTGGACACCCATCTGTATTTTTGTCTTGTGCAGATTGAAGTCAAGGCAAGCAATCTTCGCTGGAGACACTCGTAGTGGCATCCCTTCGGTATTGAGTGCATATCCATTCAACAAATTGCACTTTGAGAATATCCCATCCTCACTCAAGATCTAATGTTTGAAACTTTGACAGAGTATAAACAGACCTTGATAGGGTACTTTTTCTCCCCTCGCTGATTTGTCATCTTTACTGACACAACGGCATCCACAACCTTCAAGACAAATGTGATTATAACAGGTCAACCACGTGAATGACGAGAGTATTACTGCAAGAAAAATATCAAAATGGATCCCAAACCTTAATCAACACAACAATAACCCATAAGTTCAGTGTCGTCTTAGATATTTGTGAGGCTTAAAGCATTTTTTTTAAAAAATGTGGCTCTTTATAATAACTAAAACCATTAAAAATGGATCAAAACCACTAAAAATCACCACATTTCCATGTTTGTTATTGTTGTCTAAGATATTTTTTTTCTCTATTCTCTTCTATATGTTTAACTCCATCAATGTTTTTATGTTGTTCAAACGTATGCACTTCTATCTCACCATTCTTATAAACATCAGTCTTATTATTTTTATCATTTATTTCATTTCTAACAGTCACATAATTTCAGATTTTGTAATTATAAAAAATTAAAAACATGTCTTCTAGTGCTTACTAGAGTGTGAAGACATATTACTAAAAAAAAATATATATTATAGAGATTATTGTCAAGAAAAAAAATTAAAAACTATATAATTACAATTGTAGTATGAATACATGTTTTTGCTTTGTTACTTTTGTAAATACTAGCATCAATGCAAATTCAATTCAACACAATTGTGTCATTTATAATTATTGACTGTTAATCAACTAATCAGTAATATTCGAGATCCTATCATCTAATCTAATATATACAAAATGATGAAAAAAGACAATGATTAGGAAAAAAAAATACAAAATTTGAGAAATACCCAAATTTTTTAAATTAAAACTCTAACTTTCTAAATTTTAAATGATTTAGTTATAAAATTTTGTGTCTAGGAAGAAATTTTACAGTTTATATGACAGCCACAAAAGGTTTTTTTAACATTAAAAAGAAAAGTTACTTCTAAGTTTGCATTGACGGCTAAAACATATTTTTTTATAAAAACTTTCTAATAAAACAAGAAAAAAGAAAGAGGGAAAATATGCAGAAAAACTTCTCTTTAACACTCCTTAGTTGACCACCTAAGCTATAACTAATTTTGGAAAATGTGGCCTGAATTTTTAAAAAATATTTGTGGCTTAAAGCCAATGCTTCACCTGCTTTAAGGCAGGGACGGGTCTGCATAAGTCTCTCCATAAAGTGACACCTAAGCATTTCCAAGCTTTTTCAATATGACATCTCAACAAAAAAATCAACCAATAAAAATATTTTATTAATACAGCTCATTTAAAAAATATTTTCAATTTATTTGGGTAAAAAACAACTCTTCTATGCCCATTTTATTATTTTGATAACACAAACACATTACATAGCTCAACCCAAATTTGATGTTTCGATGTCTACCAGTTTTTCGTTTATAAAAGAGAAGATGTCTGTGGGCTTTTCATAGCCATGTGTATATATATTAAAATGCAACAAAAACAGGTTGAACGAAAAATATGAAATAGGATAATTATGAAACTACAAAAGATGAGAATTTTGTAACTCCCAAGACAGTCTTCAACAATAACACTAAAGTCTCTCCATGGCTTGACACCTCAGTTTTTTTAAGCTTTATAAATATGACACCTCAGCAAAAATAATCACCAATCAAAACATTTTATTAATACATCTCATCTATTTATTTTAATTTTTAAACTTAAACCCATTAAAAACCCAAATATTTTTTTATTAATTTTTGTTTTATTTTTTTATCAAATCCAAACCCAAATAATTAATAACAGCAATAAAAAAAATCATCATTTTATTTTTTGCCAAATCCAAACCCAACTAATAAATAAAAACAAAAAAAATATTAAATCATTATTTTCTTTTTTTACCAAAACCAAATCCAAATAATAAATAACAACAAATAAATAATAAAAAAAATTCTAGCTATCTGTTTGTTTGACATAGATGTATATGATTGAAAAAGTGTAGGCTCAATATCAACTATGCTTCCATGACAACAACGCAAAAAACCTTATGTTATAAGAAGCTCACACATCAGCAAAAATTTGAACCGATAAAAACATAATAATTTCTTAGTTTTCGCAGGAAAACACAATTTCACGGGAGATAATGCAATTTTTGGTTTTTGCAGAAAATTACAGTTTATTTATTTTTGTAGAAAAACGTGATTCTGGGCTTGACGAGAAAATGATTTTTTTTTTTTGGTAGGATAGACGATTTCTCAGAAAAAAAAATTTCGATTTTGGCGGAAAAATACAATTTTTTTTGGTTTTTGCAGAAAGATGAATTTTTTTGGTTTTTGTGAGAAAAACGTAATTTCTCGGCTTTGGTCAAAAAAACACAAGTTCTCATGGGAAAATGAAATTTTAGGTTTTAGGTTTGACGAGAAAATGAATTTTTTGGTTTTGGCGGGAATAGCCGATTTCTCAGTTTAATGGGAAAATGAAGTTTTTTTTGTTTTGACGGGAAATACGATTTCTCGATTTTTATAAGAAGATGAAATTTCTCTGTGCTAAATTTTCAAGTTAAAGTATGTTTACTGTAACCAAAATTTAATTATTTAGTTTTAACTAAAACGATATTTTAAGAGTTCAAACATAATTTTCTATTTAGTTCTAAAGCAATAGCAATGGTTTTGATATGAATGTTATTGATTATAGTTTAGTAGTTTTGGAAATATATGTTTATAATAAAAAATTTGATAAATAAATAAATTTTATAATTCAAAATAATCATATTAATTAATAAATCTTTTTTAAATGACATTTTGCTTTATATCATTACAAAGGAAGATCGTGTTGCAATTTATTGAAGAAAATAGATTACATTTGCCATGAGCATGAAGGTATTAAATATGTATTGGTTTATTCTTATATATTTTATTCCTATATATACATTTATAATTAGTTAACTATCTAAATTTAATAGCAAATTATAATTTTGAAAAATAAAAAAATAAAAAATATATAATGTTTATTCATATTTCAAACGTATAAATACATAACTTAAGCTAATAAAAAAATATAATGCTCATTTATATTATAAAAATAATTTTATTATATTAAAAATATATATAAAATTTAGAAAAATATCCCGCAGTATAGCTCGGGTAAATACCTAGTCAACACATTAATAACACAAGTGTCTCTCCATAGCTTGACACATCAGCATTTTCAAGTTTTTAGGAGATGACACTTCAGCAAAAAGAATCACCAATAAAAACATTTCATTAATACAAATCATCAATTTATTTTAACTTTTAAATTTAAACCCACTAAAAACCCAAATATTTTTTATTTTTTATTGTTAATTTTAGTTTTATTTTTTGGTCAAGCTCAAACCCAAATAATAACTAACAAAAATAATTGTTTTATTTTTTGCCAAACCCAAATAATAAATAACAAAAAATAATAAAATTAAATCTTTGTTTTATTTTTTTGCCAAACCGAAACTCAAATAATAAATAACAGCAAAAAAATTAAAATTTCTAACTATGTGTTTGCTTGATAGAGACGTATATGATTGAAGAAAGTGTAGACTCATCATCAACTATACTTCCATAACAACAATGCAAAAAGCATTATGTTATAAGAAGCTCACACATCAGCAAAAATTTGAACCAACACAAACATAACAATAATACATATTATTAACACACTAATTAAAATTAGTTTACTATTTTGCTGATCCATTAAAAAGCACAAAGTTTACAAAAAAATGGAGGTCGAAAGCAAATGAGGAGAAACTCAGGCCACCACAACTTGGAGATTCGCATTTCCAGTGGTTACCGAGAACAAATTTTCTTGGATTTGGCTGGAATAGAGAATTTCTTGGTTTTGGTAGAAAAATATGATTTTCAGTTTGATAGGAAAACATAATTTCTCGGTTATGGCGGAAAAAACGAATTCTCGAGGTTTGACGGAAAAATGTGAATTTTTGGTTTTGGTGAGAAAAAAGAAATTTGATTTTGACAAAAAAATACGAGGGAAATGCAACTTTTCAATTTTGACGAAAAATACAGTTTCTCGGTTTTGATAAAAAATGCAATTGTTCGGCTTTTGATGGATAATATAATTTTTTGATTTTCGCGGAAAATTGTAATTTGACAATTTTGGCAGAAAATGCAATTTCTCGGATTGATAGAAAAACAAAATTTCTTGATTTTGGTGGGAATAAACAATTTCTTGGTTTTGATGGGAAATACAAATTTTCAATTTTTGACATATAATTTGATTTTTTTGGTTTACGAAGGAAAATATGATTTCTTAGTTTTTGCAGAAAACACAATTTTTCAGGAGATAATGCAATTTTTGGTTTTCATGAGAAATTGTATTTTATCAGTTTTGGTAGGAAGGTGTGATTCTGGATTTGACGAGAAAATTAACTTTTTCTTGTTTTGGTGGGAATAGACGATTTCTCGATTTTTGTGGAAAAATATTTTTTTTTGGTTTTGATGGGAAAATACTATTTTTTTTTGTTTTTGCATGGAAGATGAAATTTTTTGGTTTTTGTGAAAAAACTTGATTTCTCTGTTTTGACGGAAAAACACAGGTTCTCGCGGGAAAATGTGATTTTAGTTTTTGAGGAAAAATGCAATTTCTTTGTTTTGGTAGGAAAATGAAATTTCAGGTTTGACAAGAAAATGATTTTTTTTTTGTTTTGGCGGGAATAAACGATTTTTCAGTTTCATGGGAAAATATTTTTTTTTTTGTTTTGTCAGAAAATACAATTTCTCGGTTTTTGTAAAAAGATAAAATTTCTTTGTACTAAGTTTTCAAGTTACAATATGTTTATAGTAACCAAAATTGAATTATTTAACTTCAAGTAAATTGATGTTTCAACAGTTCAAATAGAACTTGCTATTTAGTTCTAAAGTCATAGTAATGATTTTGAGATGAATGTTATTGATTATAGTTTGTTAGTTTTAGAAACATATGTTTATAATAAAAATTTGATAAAAAATAAATTTTATAATTTATAATAATCATATTAATTAATTTTTTGTTAAATGGTAATTTGCTTTATATAATTTAAAAGGAGGATCAAGTAGCAATTTAGTAGAGAAAATAAATTATATTTACTATTAGCATGAAGATACTTAAAAATGTATTGTTTAATTCTTACATATACATTTACAGATAGTTAGCTAAATAAATTTGATAGTAGATTATAATTTTAAAAAATAAAAAGATTAATGATATATAATATTTATTTAGATTTAAAACATATAAATACATAACCTAAGCTAATAAAAAATAAATATAATACTTATTTACATTATAATAAAATAATTTTATTATATTAAAAATATATACAAATCTAGAAAAATATCCAGCAGCATAAATACCTAGTACAGTATAAAGAGCTAGAAAGGACTCAAGTAGCTGTAGGGAATTAATAACGCAAATTTATTATAGCACTAATGGTTTTAATAACAAAGCATGCACTCTATTTCCACGGAGCTTCAATATTCGAGCTTTTTGTTATAATGCTTCGGTCTTTTGTGTAAAGGTGGTCAACATGGAGTCGGGAAACTTTTGGTCATCTCGGCTGCCAAGAACCTCATATGACATTGAGTTGGATGCAGAGAGTTTGAATTCAAATGACATGGTGATGTTCTGCTAACTTCCCTATTTTCAAGGTTTATTATATGAGGCAATCAGTGAGCAGTGAATAATTTTTCACGACGAGACGGAGAAGAAAAGGCGCTGAAACTTGATGGAAGTGAAGTGGGAGGATGGAAATTAGCTGTTACTGGCGTAGCTACAGCGAGAAGTAACCCGGACCGCGTCTCGAAGAAACGTGATCGTCTTGGCTATTGTATCCCAAGTACATGAATAATTTTGTTTCTTGATATCCAAGTAAGAACTTGTCGTGAACCCGTCGTCGTTTTATTGTATGTAGCTCATTGTATTGAGATGGCTGCCGAGAACCATGCCAAGGTCTTGGCTCTCAAGATGGAGCGAGGGTTGGTCACTACAAAAATCATTGTGTTTAATATCATTTATTTTTAAAGTTAGCATCATTTTAAAAATGATGCAAGAATTATAGCATCGCTCTTAAAAATGACGCTAAATTCAATGATACTAAATTTATTTTGCATCATTTTTATTAATAATGCTATAATTATATTTAAGCATCATTTAATTTATACTTGAGTCATTTCTTTTTCTGTTGCTAATTATTATCATAGTATTATTTTATAAGTGATGCTAAAAATAAGATTCATATCAATTGTCATAAATGATGCTAAAATGTACTCCCTTCGTTCCACAATCTAAGATTTTTTGGGTTTTTTACACATATTAAGAAACGTTATTATCTGCTTTTTAGAATACTTTTTGTTTTCATTTAATACTTACATTTAATACTTTTTGAAAATGTTATCAAAGAGATACTCAAATTAGTTTCGACTTTTTATATTTCCAATAAGCTTTTACCTTTTGTTCTTGGAAAGTGAGATTTTATTAATCTAAAAAATCAATCTTTTGGAACAGAGATAAAACCCAAAAAATCTTAGATTGTGGAACGGAGAGAGTGAAAAACTGCAAAAAAATCATAGAAAAATATTATTTGAGCATAAATAAAGAAAATCATTGAAGAAATATCTGAATACATAGGCAAAGTAAAACACAATTTTGTATAAATAATCAGCGTCATGTTTCCTTTCTTCGTCTTTACTTCTTTCCATCGAACCATTTGTATTCACTAAACTTCCTTCCTGTACAAGCATAAACAAGAGATATATTACACATATACGTAAGAAGACTATTAAGATGTACTTCACCTTCTCCAGTTGCAATTAGAGCTAAGAAGACTATTAAGAAGATCATTCATCTTCTCATATTTGTCTTCTAAATCATTCATTTTCTCCAATTTATTTTGTAAATCATGAACTGTATTCTTCAAATCAATTACTTCTGCTTCATAGGATGTGCGATTCTTAAAAGATGTGGAAGGAGTCGGACCAAGACTTTATCACTAATCTTAGTGATACTCTTGATGTGATATAACTTCAGCATAAAGGATAACTTTGAGAATGAAGTACACCCCTCATAAAGTTCTTCATTAGCATCTGCTAGTAATGCTTCAAATGCTCTTCTTTCATCAGAATTAGGTGCTTGATCAGCAGCTTCTTCTTCATTCAATGGTTGATTAGAAGAACCTGCTCTCTCATTAAAATGTCTTCCACATTTTGGGAAGACATCATCTAGTAGATTCATTGTTGAATCTTCATTCAAACTATTATCTATTAGATTCATTGTTGAATCTTCATTCAAACTATTATCTATTTGAGATTCTATAGAGATCGAAGTCTCTATGATATTGAACTGTTCACCATGAAAATGCCAGTTTGTATATGTAGGAATAAACCCATGATACATCAAATCTCTCCTAATATCCTCTCTATATTTATACTTTACTAAAGAACACCAAGAACAGGGAGATTTTAACATGGTTGCATCACTATTAGAAAATGCAAAGTCTAAGAACCCTTCAACCCCATTGATGTACTCTTGCGATAAATGTGGTTTGCTAATCCAAGATTTATCAATATCAACCTAAATCATTATAAGTAACACAAACAAGATTTCAAGCTTAAAAAATGTTAATACATGATTTTTTAAGCAAACAAACTAATCTAGTATAATACCAAATCAAATCTAAGAATGAACTATTTACCAAATCCAATCTAAAAATGGCTCATCTTCTTCACACATAAACAAAAAAAATTAAGAATGAACTATCTACAAAACAAAAGTACTTGCAAAAGTAAACTAGTTCTCTCGATTTCCATGTGTATCAGCAATTCCAATCCGAGAACAATCAGCAACACAACTAAGAATCAGCAATTCCAATCCGAAGTGATTTCCAAAACAAAAACAATCAGAGAACAATAACACAAAACTAAGAATCAGCAATTCCAACCCGAAGTGATTTGCAAAACAAAAACAATCAGTGAACAATCACACACAACTAAGAATCACATATCAAATAAAATCAAACGAGAAACATTGGAGAGAAGTTATCACTAACCGTGAAGATGAGAGACGATCGGACAGAGTGAAACGAACGGAGATCCTTAACCGGAGAGAAACGAATGGAGATCCTTGATCAGAGAAAAATAATCATTGATCAGAGAGAAACAAATCGAGAGAAACACATATCATATTCTACCAAATAAAATCAAATGAGAAGAAACATTGGAGAGAAGTTATCACTAACCGTGAAGATGAGACACGATCGGAGGGAGTGAAACGAACGGAGATCCCTGATCGGAGAGAAACGAATGGAGATCCTTGGTTGGAGAGAAACGATCCTTGATCAGAGAGAAACAAATCGATAGAAACTTAGACGCAGAGATCGCTGAACGATCGATCGAAGTGAAGCTGAACTCTACCCAGATTTTTTTTTCTAGTAAACTTTTGTGTTGCGTATAATTAATTTAGCAAATATTACTTTAGCTCTGATTAACGATAATTACAAATATTAAATACTCGATTTAAATTTAGCGTTTAACATCATTTACAAATAAGTGATGCTAGATATTTGGGTTTAATTTCATTTATAAAGAAGTGATGCTAAATATTTGGGTTTAATACTATTTATAAAGAAGTGATGCAACTTTTTATGTTTTATTATCACTTTCAATGATTGATGCTAATTTTCCTGATTAATTTTTAGTATAACATCACTTTTAAAAATGATGTTATAAAACTTGATGCTAATTAGCAGTTTTTTAGTAGTGGGTGTAGAAGTCAGACGAAGCTCTTTGGTGTTTTTAAATCGTGTGATATATTATGCAACCTTTTGTCTTTCAATTACCTAAATCGTGTGCTATATATTAAACATAAACGCAAGTAATACTCGGGAGTTATGTGTAAAGGAAGAGAGACATAATTTCTTTGACAAAAAAAAAAAAATAATAATAATTGGAATGCAATGTCACTTTTAAGTTGCCATGTCGTCAATCCCCTTGGTGGGCAGAATTTCATCGATTTTCAACTATATATGAAAAATAATACAGAAAAATCAAAATCAAATAAAACGTTGTGAGAAACAAAATTTAATAACCAAACTAAAACATATTAGCTTTTGGTTATGTGGTGTGTATCAGAAAAGAGAATTCAAGTATATAGAGCTTAATTAGGACTCTTACAATCGAACACTATATATATGACCCGCAAAAATATCCGGTTCTAAAACACTAATACCCGTACTCAAGAGTCCAAATCCTGGATTCTCTGCTATATCTGGAAATAAAAAAAATGATAAAGTGCTCAAAATATTGATCAGGATTCTAAAAAAGGTCTTATGAATTGCGCAAACAAAGGTAACATCGTGAGCTGGCACAAATTGATCATTTGCAAGTTCAATATCCAAGTTCACAAGGAGTGATAGCATTGCGGCATGAGGGATTAATATGACACACAGATGGTTCGTGGAAGGAAATAATAGCAAATGCAGGTTTATGATGGTATTGCCAAGGAAATGGGTTTAGAGGGTACATTAGTTGAGGTAGAAAATATACAACTAAGCATTTCTCTTTTACATACAAAGTTGGAAGGATTAATATGGGTTATGCACTCCATGCTTTAATGCATAAAGATTGGTGATAGCTTTCGTTACGGAATGTTCTATATTAGTGAAAATGGTGTCCAAATTAGATGAATAGCAAGCTTTCGTATTACACTTGGAAGAATACGAAACAAACATAAGAATTTGAGTTTTTTTCATCTCACATATCTCACCTGCTCAAAACATAAAGATAGATAAATTAGCACGCAATGCTTATGACTATCTTTACAGTTTAAACTATGAATTTGAATAGAGAGACATATGAAATGTAGAATAAATATATATCAACTAAAATCCAGATTCATCTGCATTTTTCTTCTATTTATTTGTGTTTTAAAGAACTAGAAAAAAAAAAGATCTACATACATATCAAGTTTATCTTGTCTTTTAATGATAAAAATAGAACATATCCACCATACATTTACTTAGAGAGCATTTCAATGCATATTCATTTATCTGTATTTGATATGATTTATCTGCAATAGTTTTTTTGTTCTATATTTTTATGTTGACATATCTATTCAAAGCTTATGTAAACTTAATTACACAAGGTTTGAATTACTGAACTATTATAAACATTAAGAAAAAGAAAAAAGGTCCAAACCCTGCAGTCGCAAAGTCACATGATATATATGCAGGCCCGACCTAAAGAAATGACCTTACACCAATTTTTTTAAAAAAACTTGAAATTTAGCTGTAAATCTAAAAATTTGGACTTTTAATTGCACAATTCTATAAATTTAAGGATTCTTAAATGCAGAGAAAATGAGTGAAAAATGAGTGGACCATGTGCTTTTGTACCGTTGGCACACCCATTGAGCCGGGCCTGTATATATGTTCTTCCAAACTAAAAAGTAGAAAGTTGTAAGAGATGTCCGACAATTTTACACATCGAGATGGCCAGCTACTGGATGAAATACTGAATCAATGCCGATTGTCTGTGTGTTGGGCTATAGCGTTGATATAGCAAATGACGACAGTACTTAGAAAACGCGAGATAATCGATGTGGAGGATTCCCTCTTGGTTCAATACCTAATAAACTGCATGACAGAGATGCGGAGGGATCCATGGCGTAGAGGCATAAGGTCTTTCAAGGAAACGAGAAAGTTTCTTACGCGAGGGGGAAGTGTAAAGGAAGAAGATTGTATGTTGACTTTTTTTTTTAAGTACAAGAAATGTACTGAATGCCTTTAAAGGAAAGCCGCATTTCCTACTCTCGAAAATTATAGTCGCGTTTCCGATGCTCGGTACAACGGAGGTATGGTGATACAATTTTCAGCTCTTGAATTTTTGATTTAATAGCATCGAAAATCACAACTGATTTTATCAGATGTTTATTTGTTCAGTGGAAGCGGAGTTTGCGGAACACATGATGCAATATCTGCTAGGAAACCTTACAACTACTATTGTAAAAAGATTATGTACATTCAAAAAAGCAAATGAAGAAGTTTATATTCCTCAACCTAAAGAACGACAGGATCCGTCTAAATGGCGAAGAGAGCATTCCATGCTTTTGGTAGGCGCTGGCTTTGACGACTCTGACATTACCTACTGGGAGTTCCAAGATTCATATGGAACAAGCAAAGATGACGGTGGATATATTAAAATTGCTTGGAAGATGAGTATAGTTAGAACATCCATAATGAAAGTCTATCAATATAGTGCTATATTTATATTTAACTATTATATATATAAACAAGGAATTATGGAGTGGAGGCATAAGGAGTTTCAAGGAAACTATGAGAGTTTCTTATGTGAGGGAGAAGTGTAAAGGAAGAAGATTGTCTGCTGACTTTTTCTATAAGAACAAAAAATGCACCGAATGCCTTTGAATGAGCGTTTCCTTATGTGTAAATGGTGCATAGGATTACCAACGCTCGGTATAATAGAGGTATGACGTTGCAATTTTCAGCTCTTGAATTTTAGATTTAGTAGCATCCAAAATCACAACTGATTATATCTGATGTATGTTTATTTGTTTAGTGGAAACAGAGTTTGAGAAACACATGATGCAATCTCTGCTAGGATCATCTGCCTAGGAAATGACCAAACTCCTGTCTATAATGATGTGGGATATGGCAAGCTCTTATCTTGAAATGCCTAAGACATATTGAAAACTATCACATCCACATAAATTTGAAGAAATCATAACTCAACTGTAACGAGTATACCATTTAAATCTAACGTAATGATTGTCCGAAAGTTCAAGTTGATGTAATACTTACGATCGATTCCATAAATATTGCACGATATTTTTAGTGTCAACAGAATGTAAACAGCAACAAAGCAAATGTTGCCTTGTTCCCAAATAGTCATTAGAGCATACTGAGAGATAATGTTTGAAGGGATCATAATCATACTGTTGCGTGTGATGGGAGAATTAAACCTCCAGGCTTCAACCAGCAATCTCTAGCTGTAATAACACTTCCCAGCATACTCTACATCACATCACAAAACATAATACCAGGATGGGACAAAGAAGAATTAAGGAAACGGCAGGTTATTATTTGGACATTAACATAAAAAAAATTATGTATACAAAGACAAGGAAACACCCTCATACAAGAGCATGTAACCTGAGATTATAACATACATCCTGAAGAGCATTACAACAGAGGAAAGATTACTACAAAATGAGCGTTTGCATACATAATTGGATGCTTAGCCCAACCAATCTATCTCAAGCGCGGTGTAGAGGAACAGACTATCCTGATTTCTTTACCACATTCATTTATATCGTGCCTTTCTGGATAAGGACACAAATTTTTTTTTCGCCAAGACAATAGACATCAACCTTAAAGCATGTCCGATATAGGATGCAGGGCAAACTCCGCATTTTTCGTAGAAAATATTTTTACCGATAAGCGATAAGCAGGTGATGAGAAGAACGGTGGTGGCAGTAGAAGGAGGTCTCTATTCGAATTACAGGATGTTTAGAGAATACATGGACGAAGCTTTGATAGATATACTTGGAGACGACGTGGCTCAGCACGTAGTGATCAAAGCCATGGAAGATGGCTCCAGCATCGGCTCTGCGTTGTTGGTGGCTTCATCACATAGTGTTCGAACCATAGCATCCGTATGTGTAGTAGTTGTGCAGGTTTTAGAATGCATAGTCGATTGTTTTAGACGCATGTCGCGTTCGGTAAATATTGTAGGATCTTTAACTCTTTACTTCCTCTGCTCATATGATTGTGTAAATAAATTGTGGTTTTTCAGAGAAGAAAAACCGACTCTGTAGTAGTTAAAATGCAAGGGAATCAAGTCTTAATGGGGCGAAGGCAGAACAACGAATACATACCATTTTTTTTAGAACAAAAATTCATCAAAGTAAAAAACCAGAGTAGGAAAAAAAAACAGAATCTGCTGTTTCAGAGACTACATTGTTACAGCGGGAAAAAAAAGAAGCTAAAAAAGGCCGGTTGGTTCTGAAAATGCGGGGACAAAAAGAAACACAAACTAAGAGAAAAAAAGACAAGACCGATAAAGAGGAGCTGAGCCTTCACTTACTCATCGCCTTGGCCCTCATCCTTCACCAGCTTGATCATGTCGTCGATTCGCAGAATCGTGATGGCTGCCTCTGTTGCAAACTGTTGACGAAAATAAAGCTCTTGGTATTTAAGACATAACTTGATTAAATAAAAAACTATACAAGTTCATGTGAGAAAAGTTAGTAGAGAGTAGAGTACTTCACCTGGATAATTTTCACTTTGCTCATAGCCGGTTCGATCACTCCAG